ACATATCTACTTTGTACTCCAAGCCATCGACTACGACAGGGGGGGAGGGTCGACTAGGCGTGTTAATAATAACGAACACTCTCCTTGCCTCCCCTCTCCCCATCACATACGTGTACATCCCGGTGAAAGTATTTAGAACACCATACCAGGGCAGTGTTTCGATACGGTTATTCCCGTAAAGTTTATTTTTATTATTTCATTACACTTTTACCGTCTATCGTTTGTCGTTTTCGGCTTTAAACCCACATAACGGAGGAATTAGGCCATCGAATAGCCGCCGCGGTCGTCGCTAGGCACGTATCCAATATACCTACTGAAAGTAGCAGGCACAGGAATGGATTACATAATAAGGTTTCCCCATGCCGAAACCCAATTTAATTTCCAACTATTACGAAAGGTCGTTGTGACGTCAATTTCGGCTGTGGGAGTTCAACTAAAGATTTCAAAAGAATTAGTACCGCGTGCCATCATCGTTCGATCGCACCATCAAACCACCTTACACATCGCATCTTTCTATCACTGTTCAAACAAATGCCAATCAACGGCACAAAGAAGTTGAAGAAGAAAAGTACCTCGCGTCTCCACTCAATCCCTCAAGCAGACATGAGGGGCATGGAGAACAGAGGAGGGTTTGTTTACACCATCTGTCTTCTTTCTTTTCTTCTTCTTGTTCTGCGGACAAAGGAGTGGTGGTGAGGAGGGTTGTTAAAATTTGCATTCCTAGACCAAAGTTCAATTTCCTGCCGAAAATAAACCAAACAATAAAGGGGGGGTGCCCAGGGAAGGATCTTCGACCGCGCAGCGTATCACCACCGTGGGGCTTGGATGCAGTTATAAACAAACATAAATTAAATAGAACAGGACAGGAACATGTGAAACTTCAATATTGTAGTTGGATCCATCAAGGCAAATAAAAAAAAACTATATATTAAGGGAGATAAACGGGTTTAAAGATTTGGAAAACCCAAATCATGATTTAGACAAATATGATAAATTAACAATATGGTCCACCCGATGTTGACTCGACATTAACCCGACATAAAACCAAAATTGACCCAACAATAACACGACATTGTCGTATATCAAATGAAAGTGAGTGACTCAATCGAGCTTCGAATGAGAAAGGAGCTCTTCAAATTATGGTCATGATAGAATACGTTTTCACAGAATTGATTGAATGGTTGTATTGCACACTACGAAAAAGACATGTAAATTTCAGTACCCTGAGACCGACACATGCAAGCGGCCCTTTTGACATAAGAATCAGTTGAAAAGGACGGGAAAATCAATTCAATCAAACGCACTTTTCGTCGAGTTGCCTATGTTTCAGTTTCAGGACACTTAATTTTACATGCCATGTTTGTTTACGTTCCATGATTTACGTCAAAGCTGAATTACGTCTCGTTTAAAAATAATAATTTCTAAGTGTGTGGTTCATATTCAATCGAATGATATGAAAATTAACAGCACTGCCCAAGACACGCTTTTCCCCGACTCTAGCGACTCTGTGACACTGTTTTGATGTTGACATCAGAGTTAATCAACATGGCTCTAAGCAAACATTTTGTAGATCATCCAAACAGGGACAGTATTTAAAGTTAATCCGAGTTGGAGCTCACCGCCATAAAGGTGACAAGTACATTGTAAATTGAGCGCTTAGCAGCTCAATATCAACAAGGCTATCGAAAACAACTCACAGTTGATTAAAATGAATTGTAAAAAATTACCTGTTTTAAATTGAATAACAATTTTATTCAAACTTGAGGTGGAAAACAGAATGTAACATGTAATAGAAAAAAAAATTGTCTAAAACGAATAATATTGAATCTGTCTGTTTTAAGTTGAGAGCCGGCAAAATGCTCACAAAAAAAAGTTGAAATCCTAGATAAAGTGAATCCTATCCTACTCAATTTAGAGTTGTTTTCATGGACCGTGTACCGCCAACATCTGCCAATTTATCCGTTAAGTCATCATTTAAACTATCCTGATCGTTTTATTTACTGATTATTTTTTGTTGTTGAAAAAACGATGGATCGTTTTGCGCAGCTTCTGGATGTTTCAGCTCAAAAGAAGGGCCCAGTATTTCTTTCTTCTGGAATAATGCTACAAACTCAGTGTGGTGTAGTGGTAAGCGTGATTGCCTTTCACCCCAAAAGGCCTGGTTTCAATCCCGGACGGCGCCGCCGGGATTTTCTGAGGCATAAAATCTCTGATCACGCTTTCCCCAGTTCATGAGTGGATGGGTCGATAGGTAGGGTTCAGGTGTGGGAGCCGGCGTTTTTTTTAATTTATTAATTTATTTATTTATGAATTTATTAATTTATGAATTTATTAATTTATGAATTTATTAATTTATTAATCTATTAATTTGTTAATTTATTAATTTATTGTGTAATTAATTTATTAGTTTATCAATTTATTGAATTAGTGATTCATTAATTAAATAATTTATTATTTTTTTAATTTATTAATTTATTTATTTATTAATTCATTAATTTTGAATTTATTAATTTATTTTTTTATTTATTAATTAATTTATTAATTTATAAATTTATTTATTTATATTTTTTAATTTATTAATATATTAATTTATTTATTTATTAATGCATTAATATTAATTTATTGATTCATTAATTTATTATTTTTTTTTTTATTAATTTATTAATTTATATATTTATTAAATTTTTAATTTATTAATTTATTAATTTAATAATTTATTAATTTATAAATTGATTAATTTATCAATTTTTTAATTAATTAAATTATTAATTTATTAATTTATGAATTTATTAATTTATTAATTTATCAATTTTTTAAATTATTAATTTATTAATCTATAAATTGTTTAATTTATTAATTCATTAATTTATTAATTTATTAATTTATTAATTAAATAATTTATTAATATATAAATTTATTAGTTTATTAATTTATTAATTTTATTATTAATTTATTAATTTATTAATTTATTAATTTATTAATTTATTAATTTATTAATTTATTAATTTATTAATTGATTAATTTATTAATTTATTAATTTATTAATTGATTAATTTATTAATTTATTAATTTATTAATTTATTAATTTATTAATTTATTAATTTATTAATTTATTAATTTATTAATTTATTAATTTATTAATTTATTAATTTATTAATTTATTAATTTATTAATTTATTAATTTATTAATTTATAATTTATTTATTTATTAATTTATTAAGTGATTAATTTATTAAATAATAAATATGTGAATTTATTTATTGGTTAATTTATTAATTTATTAATATAATAATTTATTAATTTATTAATTTATTAATTTATTAATTAATTAATTTATTAATTTTTAATTTATTAATTTATAAATTTATTAATTGTTGAATTTATTAATTTATTTATTTATTAATTTATAAATTTATTAATTGTTTAATTTATTAATTTATTAATTTATTTATTAATTAATTAATTAATTTTTTATTCTTTAATTTATTCATTTATTAATTGATTTATTTATTAATTGATTAATTTATTAATTTATTAATTTATTGATTTATTAATTTATTAATTTATTACTTTATTAATTTATTAATTTATTAATTTATTAATTCATTAATTTATTAATTTATTAATTTATTAATTTATTAATTTATTAATTTATTAATTTATTAATTTATTAATTTATTAATTTATTAATTCATTAATTTATTAATTTATTAATTTATTAATTTATTAATTTATTAATTTATTAATTTATTAATTTATTAATTTATTAATTTATTAATTTATTAATTTATTAATTTATTAATTTATTAATTTATTAATTTATTAATTTATTAATTTATTAATTTATTAATTTATTAATTTATTAAATTATTAGTTTATTAATTTATTTATTTATTAATTTATTAATTTATTGTTTAAGTAAGTTATTAATTTATTAATTTATTAATTTATTAATATATTAATTTATTAATTGATTAATTTATTAATTTATTAATTTATTAATTCATTAATATATAAATTTATAAATTTATGAATTTATTAATTTATTAATTCATAAATTTATAAATTTATAAATTTATTAATTTATTAATTTATAAATTTATTTATTTATTAATTTATTAATTTATCAATTTATCAATGTATTAATTTATTAATTTATTAATTTATTAATTTATTAATTTATTAATGTATTAATTTATTAATTTATTAATTTATTTATTTATTAATTTATTAATTTGTTAATATATTAATTTGTTAATTTATTAATTTATTAATTTATTAATTTATTAATTTATTAATTAATTAATTTATGAATTTATTAATTTATGATTTTATTAATTTATTAATTTATTAATTTATTAATTTATTAATTTTAGGACACCTTATTGAAACTTTGATAAATTAAATGAAGTTTACGGAACTTCCGAGAAGGTCCGAGGTCACGGATCTTCATGGAATCAGAGAGATTTTATTAATTAAAATAATCTGAAAAACAAGAGCCACATGTGAAATGGACATGCATGCTGTTTTGTGAACAAACCTACATATGCCCTTCTCTTTTGCCAGCGAGGCTGGATTCACGCACACATAGACACTCTCTATTACACGAGAGAGAATGGCTGCGTGCTTTCCAAATTTAATCCATTATTGGTGCTGATCGAATGGGGTTTCCAAATTTAATCCATATTTTTGAAAATCTGTGTTAAATCGCATATTATCCTATATGGAGCTTACCGCTACTACACGCCCTTCAAATCACGGTTAAGGTCGTATTTAAGTAGATAAACGGGTTTAATGATTTGGAAAATCCAAATCATGTAAATCGGGTATACAAACAACGAACATCTAAATACCCCTCAAATTGCAATAAGGACCGTATTTACGAAGATAGAAATCATCTTTACAATGTTAAATGCAGAAATCATGAATTTTATAATTTCACTGTTGTATTCTCTTACCTTCTTTTATACTTATAAGCGATATTTTTTTATTTCTTGTAGATTGACGTCAAACTAGGTGAACTCAATCCATCTGTTCTGCTGACTTTGGTAAGTACCGACTATCAGTAAATAAATATTCATCGTTTGCATACGTTCCTAACTGTAAGGGAAATAGGGCCATGGATTTTAGATTTTCTAATTCGCTTTTGGTTACTTCACAGCTGATTTGTGTTTACAAAACTAAAATTTTAATGATTCTTCCACCCGCTCAGAAAATCATTGTCAACACAAAAAATACCCCAATTCCAGTTCTGTGTTATTATTTACCTACTCATAAGGTTTTTTGTTATGCTTCGTAACCGACTGCTCATGTTTATACTTAAAATATGAGACCATTTGCTGATGTCGTGCGTTTGTGTACTTTTCCATCGAAGAAAATAAACATTGTACTGAATTTGTTGTTATGATAGCACCTTGTCGATGTGGGTTGGTCCGGGGGTGCACGATTTCCCCGAGGATGTACACTGCACATTAGGGTGGGTCACGTTTGTATGGCGGATCTCAACCGTCTGAGGGGAACATCAGAACCTCTTTCGGTTTGTATGTATTGAAGTCCTCAGCAACTATGCTAAATTGGAGGGTTAATAACTTTATGCAGAGAATTCGAACCGATTTGCGGTCATCGACAAAGTTATGTTGCATAGTTTGCCCAGCAATGGTCGACAGGGTGTTGTTAAGTTGACCAACCCTAATGTACCTACAAGTTCCTACACTGCATATTAGGGTGGGTCAACTTTACAACCCTATGTTCCCACTGGCCTTTCAATGCGTACTCAGGTCTACAACAATTGTGCAAAATTTTAACTATTTGGGGGAGAAGTTTAAATTTAGTATGGGGTAATGTATGGGAAACGGAACGATCCTATTCATTTGCTTTCCAAATTTCACTAAATCTCGGACTTAGATTGAGAATACAATTATACAAAAGAACTTTTTCGAAGACTACAAATCGATAGCGTCGCCGGTGGTTTAGTGGTAAGCATGATTACCTCTCACCCCAGCAGTCCTGGGTTCAATCCCAGTCGGCGCCGCCGGGTTGTTCTGAGGCATAACATCTCTATCGCGCATTCCTTCGGAAGGGAAGTAAAGCCATTGGTGCCCGGTTCATGAGTTGATGTGTCGATAGGTAGGGTCCAGGTGTCGGTAACATTGGTGCTCAGCACGGAAATCAAGATCGACAGGAAAACAAATCAAGGGAAAAAAATGCAAATCGATTTGACCTTTGTACAAAATGTAACTAATCTTTCACTTTAGACCAAGTGTTGCACACATACCTACAAGCTAATATTTACGCCAGTAGGTATGCGCGGATCAACAGGTCCTAATTAATAAAATAATAACTTTTTTCTCAGATGTCTAATCGATTTGCTGTCTTCGACAAAGTTTTTCTGCGTAGTATCCCAATCTATTTCCGGAATTTAAGCAGTATTTTAATTTTTGGCAATTCCTATACACAAATTAAAATTCTCCCGCAAATCCATATCATAACCGAATTCGTTCAAACTTGACACCGTTGCTGGGGACTTCAATACACGTCGAAAGAGCAGTAGAGAACAGGTGGTTGTGATCCCCCGTACAAACTTGACCCACCCTACTGCACATATACACGAATTACTTTATGGTGCATGCCGTCACACGAGCTAATCGCGATGGAAATGTCCCGGGCACTGACACCGACACTGGCTCATTGGGCAATGTGAACACGGCTGTCCAGGTGGATGATGACACTACTGCTGGCTGATTTTTTTGATAAAGGTTGACGTGCGAAGCATCATCCATAAATGTCTGTGACTTTGTTGTTTGGTTTCACATTTGGATTGAAGCGGAAATGTTGATGAGTCACCCAGCCCACCCTGTACCACTTATTAGGGTTATTTTGATTTGAACTGAGGCGTTCATCATTGCGAATATTAACAAACCATTCAAGCTGCGTAAAAAGATGACTTTGAAAGCCGTTCGATCTTTAGAAGAGATACAAAACTAACACTGAAAAAAGTTTTCACATAGTTTCTATTAGGAATGCACATAATATTTTTCGAATAACAAAATTGATTATTTTTATTTGAATATCACATAAACAGGGGGGCGACTACCTGGAAAATCAGGGAATATCAGGGAATATCAGGGAAATTAAATGAAATGTAAGGAAGTATTTCTTAATCACAGAAGTATGACAAACTTTGCTAGTTCAAACAACTTAATTACTCGGTGTAGTTTGAGGATGGTTTAAAATTTTAAATAGAGTTGCGAGTTTGTGGTTGCTCAATGCTTGATGTGGCATTTTTGCAAGTTGAGCAAGAATTACTAAAATAAAAGGGTATTTTAATGATTTTGCGTCTAATATAAATTCAGCTCCTACTGGGTGTTGACACATTTCTGAGTTAAACTGCGATCCTGAGGTTAATAAAAAAAATCTATATCCGTACACACTAGACGTTGTTAATTGTTGCAAAATATATCCTCCAAATGGGTATGTGCGTCTCTCAATAGGTGTCACGACTGATTGCTAAAAAGCGCTCAAGACTGGTAAAGAGTTAAGAGAAGAAGATCACTTGTAGTTATTGTGTTCTTAACAGCCTGACTAGCTCAGAAAATAAACTAAATGAGTATTTGCGATAATGGCCTTGGAATAGCACTTTTAAGATTGAATAATCAGTCCGCATCTTGCTGTGCGGATCTATTTGTTTTTTGCTGAAGGAAGTGTTACTACTACCTAAAGCTACAAAAAATTTAAACAGCACTTTTCAGTGCTCAACCTGTAAAAAAATTTCTACCTTGTTCAACTCTTATTCCTCTTCAATCCTTGTTTGAACCCTACCCGAGGTAATCCTTCTTGGATATCGATTTGGAAAATTCCTCTTCGATCCTTCAGATTCTTATATAATCTGCTTGGAAGTCGATTTGGATAAAAATTTACTGCCGCCATGGCGCCTAAACGCAAAAGAAAGGGGCAAACTCTTCACCCCCCTTCTGATGAAATTCATTTGAGTAATCAATTTGATTTGCTCACGGATGATGTGAATGATCCATCATCCAAGAAAAAATCTAGTAAACTTTCCCGGCTTAATGCCAAGAAGGAAAAGATTCCCCCTATTGTGATAACCACTTCCGATTTCCATGCTCTTCGCATGGAACTTTTGAATTTCGTGAAAGTTAAGTTTTCACTACAAATTGGACGTCGGGGTGAATGCCGTGTATTGGCTGAAACCTTGGACGGATTTAAACGTCTTCTCAAGTATCTTACTGAGAAGAAGCACAATTTTTTTACTTACGACACCAAAACTGAACGTGTGTTCAAGGTTGTCATGAAAGGACTGCCCAGTGGTGAATCCCTGGATCAGATCAAAGATGAACTGGCAAAATTACTTGGAGTTGTGCCACTCCAAGTAATCAAAATGAAAATGAAATCCCGTCCTGGCGATTCGCGCAACGGGATTTCTAATGATTTTTATTTAGTTCACTTCAAGTCTAGTGAACTAAACAACCTTAAGGCCTTAGAAAAAGCTGGCCTTATGCTCCATGTCCGAGTGAAGTGGGAACACTTCAGGAAGACTGGAGGAAATTTCCAAAACCTCACTCAGTGCCGTAAGTGCCAGGGATTGGGCCACGGAACTAAAAATTGCTACATGCCAGCTAAATGCATGAATTGTGATGATTCCTCTCACGCAAAGGACGACTGTCATGTGAAGGAAGATCCTAAGAAATTTAAATGTTCAAATTGTGGTGAAAACCACAAATCCAATTTTTGGGCATGTAAGTCTCGAGCGATCCTACAATCTCGTTCTAAGTAAGTTCTAACCGAACAGGTACAAATTCCTCTGCTGTTAACAACGGTCAGCGAGGAACAAATTCTACATTCGTACCCGTAGGTACAAATATCACCCCTGCTTCAATTTTTTCATCTGTACCTACTCCCCTCGCTGCTAACAATGTTCAGCGAGGTAATGGAGCTACCTATGCTGCTATTGCACCGGGTAGAAATCAAAATACTAACCAACGTAATTCTAGCGGAAATTTTGACTTAGGAAGCATTACAGGAATTTTTACAGAAATCATTAATTGACATGATTTCTGATATGCTTAAATCTAACTCCATGTTTGATGCTATTCAAACTGGGGTAAAATTTGCAAATAATATTGTCATGACTTTAAAATTTAGTAATGGATTTTAAAGCATTAAATATTTTAAATTGGAATGCTCGATCTCTTAAAGATAATGAAGACGAGCTATTTAACTTTTTGAGAGTTCATAACGTGTACAGGGTGATTTGGAATAACTGTCAATTTTAAAAATGTTCATAGCGATTGAACGCTTGCATGATTTTTAGATATCAGTATATTCCAGATATACTACATATATAACCTTCAAGTAAGCATACTTTAATTCAAATCTCTCTCCCTTTACTTTTAATTACCAGCCACATTTGTCTCGAAAATGAACCACAGCTGGCACGCACACGTTTTAGTTCCAGCACTTTTGGAGTCCTGGCGATGGGTCTAAGCTCTGATATTGAACAGATTTTCCACGCATGGTCGCTTTTTACTTCTTTAACGATGTAATTTTTTCGAAGAGATTTCAGTTTCTAAAAGATAACACACAAAATTATACAGATTTATGACATGCTTCATTTTCACGTCCATGGCTGCTTGAAATCAAAAACGAATGAAATTTCAAATCCTATTATCAATACAAGCTGATATTTGTTCACACTTTAAAACAAAAATACTTGAACATATACCCATTTTACCCATTCAGAATTGCATATTTGTGAAATCGGTGACAGTTATTCTGAATCACCCTGTATATTGCCGTTATAACTGAAACGTTCCTTAAACCTGACCATAAGGTTAAGAAGGACGCAAATTATTTGATTTATAGAAATTATCGTCTTGATGGACCCTGTGGTGGCGTTGCCATCATTATTCATAGACGAATCAAACATAAAATTCTTTCTTCATTTGAAACCAAAGTTTTTGAAACTTTGGGAGTTTCTGTTGAAACAAAATTTGGACAACTTACGTTTATAGCTGCCTATTTGCCATTCCAA